GCGGCTGGCGGCGCCTCGGCCCCCCTGGGCGCGGCGCGGGGCCGGGGGCGCGGGGCGGCCGCTCGCAGGCCGGGGCCGTCCGGCCGCCGCCCTCTCCGGGCGCCGCGGCGCGGAGCTGCGCTGGGCTGGGCGCCGACGCGGCCGCGGGGTGGCCGCGGTCGTCCCTGGTTACTGGGCTCCGCGGCACATGCTCGCTGCTGCGCTCCCTCTCGCCGCCGCCCCTGCGCTCCCCGCCTCCCGCCTCCCGCTCGCACCGGCGCGCCAGGGGTGGACCCGGAGCCGCCACTCAGCGCCCGGCGCCACCTCCCGCCCCGCACCCGCCCGGCCGGGCCTGCGCTCCGCCGCACGGCCGCCTCGCGGGCACCGAGCCGGCCGGCGGAGGGGCAACCCCCGGCCTCGCCCGGGCCCGCGGCGGGAGGGGGCGATCACCCCCCCACCCCCGCCCGGCCCCCCGCGGCGCCGCCGGGCGGGGGAGGGCCCGGAAGATCTGACGTGAATGGGGCCAAGTCTCTGCGCGGCGAGACTCATTCATTCGACGCGGATTTGTGGGGCGCCGGGGACCCGCGGGTGAATGGGACAGGCGCGGTCCCGGGGGGGGGCGGTATGGGGATCACTGCGCGGCAGGATGTCACATGTCTGCTGGGGGATACCTACCGCGGCGTGGGGAGAAGGTGACCTCCAAGCCCAGGGAGGGAGGGGGTGGTTGGAACCATGTTCCAGGCCACGAAAACCTGCAGGAGCAGAGGCCCGAACCCGAGGGAGAACTCCTCTCAGAGCACAGGGCCGCAGGCGCGGGCTGGGTATGATCTGAAACCCAAGAGAAGGGCCAGGGCCAGTGGGGACCGGCCTGCCCCTGTCCCCAAGGAGCTGGGCCTCTGGGCTTTAAGTACAGGGGTGACGGCGGTAGATGGGCTTTCTCTGCTTCTCTGGTCTCCATGCGGGAGCGGGGGAGTGGGGGGGTGCTTCCTGTGGAGGGGCCCTCCGGGCAGGGGTCCACCTGGGTGAACAGGCAAGAGAGAGTCCGCATGGCCTCCCCTGGCCGTCAGCATCTACAATGTCCTTATGCTGGGACTTCTCTTGTCCCAAAAAGCTTTAGCTTTTTCTCCTTCGCAGCCACCACAGACTAAAGGTCTGTTTTGTAGGTTGTGTTTGTGTGTCCCCTCCCCTGGAGGGTGAACTCCCTGAGGGCAGAGTTCTTGTCTTACTTGTAGTTGTATCTCTAACATCTAGAAGGCACCTGACTTGCAGTGGTCACTCAGCAAACCTCCCTGTTGAGAAAGAGGGGGCTGGGGGCCTCGGCGTGGACGGAGCACGGGAGGAAGAGGCAAGGATGGGGTGGTGGTCAGGGTTTCTTTTTCTCCCCACTTCAGCACAGTCTTCAGACTTCAAGGGGCCTGGGGTACCCAGAGGAACCAGGAGGGCCTCTCAAACCCCAGATAGCCCCCTCCTGCCTCCAAACATGGCCCATTCCCGATTCCCCTCCCTACACCACCTGGCCTGGGGGGAGCCCCAGGCCCTAGGAAGCCTTCGGATGAACATATCCTTGCCAGCCATTCATCAGGGAATATAGTGGGGAATGATCTGGAGAAGGGGGAGCACTGCCCCGGCCCTGTCCCGGAGCCCCGCGGCCCTTATGTGGCCTTGTAGGGGCACAGCAAGGTGGGGCTTGGAGAGCCAGGGAGAGGTGGGAGGTAAGTCAGACTCCACATCTCTTGGTGTTTAACTGGATCCCTTGGCTGCAGCTCCCAGCCCTGATGGGCAGAATCAGGGCCCACAGGAAGGTGCTGCATGGTCAGCCAGGGTCCTGGTGACCGGGTCCGGCGAGGCAGGCGAGGACACGGAGAGAACTGGTTAGACGCAGTTATAGTTTGAAGATAGAGACCGTGGGATTGTCTAATGGACTGGATGGGGGTGTGGGACAAAGAAGGGAGTCAAAGGCAATGCCAAGGATTTTGACCTGAGCAACTGTTAGAACGGATGTCCATCACTTGAGTGGGGAGTGGACGGGTGTGGAGGTGGCAAGAGCAGGAGTCCAGCTCTGGTCGTCTGAGGTATGAAACCGTGCTGGACAACGTGCCCAAGAAACGGGATTCGGACGCCTGGAGTTCAGGGTCACAGAGGCTGCGGGGATCCCCTGTGGAGTCATCCTCGTAGAGACGGAATGGAAAGCCACATGGCAGGATAAGGTCACTAAGGAGGGAGGGTAGACAGGGAGAGCATGGACGACTGAACCCTCGGGGACAGGGATCGGTCAAGAGCAGCTCCCCGATGGTTATAAACCAGAGTGTATCAAGTACTTGAATCAGTTACATACACCTGCGAAGAGCAGCTGAAGGTTCTCCCTGTAGGGCTTCCATCATTTGTTACCAGTATTGGTGGGATTACAAGTCCCTTTACTTTCCGCCTTCATTAGCCTTTTTCCTTGCATTAAAAAAGAATGGGATGTGATTCACATAACATGAAATCCAGCATCCCAGACTGTGCAGTTCCGTGGTTTCAGGATATTGGCTGGGTTGTGCCACCGTCATCACTACCAATTCCACAGCTTCACCTGTATTTTATATAGACTGTTTTCTGCCGCTAACCCGTTGCTTTTGAATAAGACAAACATTCAATCAAGTCATCTCTCTCATCTGCGGTAGCCCAGGGAAGGTGCCTTCCTGAATCACCTGCCCGAGCGTAGCGATGACCCAGATGCCCGGGCCCCATCCAGAAGGGGCAGATCCGAATGAGGTGGGGGCGTTGCCTGGGAATCGGCATCTTAACCCAGCCTCTGGACCTTCCCCTGCCTTTCAGCGGAGAGTCCCTTGTCTTATTTCATAAGCTCGCCTGGGAGAGTGACCCCAGAAGCTTGCACAGTATTCTTCCAGAAAGCCCTTGGGGAACAAAAATGATGGACCTGTGGTAGGCAGAGTCTGGATTAAATACTCCCTATGCCCCTGCATCCTGGGCGTTGGTACCTCCCCCGCTAGATCAGCAGCTCCGGCCTAGTCTCGGAATTCCAGGTCTTCTCCTGTGCGCATACCCAGTGTGCTACGGGGTGTGGTCATTCGGGTGTCCCTTAAACTCATCAGGCCGGAAACATCATTTATCACCCCCCCCCCCCAAGAATCTTCTCTTCTTGGGCAAATGGCTTCTCCTATACTCCGGCTCCAGCCAAAAATCTGAAACATCTCAGACGCCCCTGCTCTCCTCAGACACCCCACTGTGTACATCCATCCTCTGCACCTAAGCCATTGGCCTTTGCTCCCTGAATAGACCGCAAGGTTGAACACTTTCCACTGTCCCTCAGCCTGAGCCAGGTGAATCCAGCCACCGCCCTCTCCCAAAGCCATTTTCTCTCCTGACTCCCCTCTAGCTCCCTCTCATGGGGCTTCCTCCTCCAGGACTGGTCTCTCTTCCTGTCCCACGATAGTGCCCTCCTACACCTGCCAGTGCCCTCCTACACCTGCCGTGCCCCGCACAGGGACCCCTCCCACACCAAGGCCATTGAACGTGCAGTGTGGCCAGGCCAAAGGAGATACTGAAGTTTTACCCAAAACAAAAGAAGGAAAAAATACCTCATTGATATTTTTAATAGTTGAATGCCATATTGAACTGGTAATGTTAGGGATAGAAAGTTTCCATATCTTAACTTCTAAGTGTCTACTAAAACTTGAAAAATGCACCTACCTGCGGCTCGCGCGATATTTCTGTGGGGCAGCACCTCAACATCACCTCCTCGGAACTTCCTTGGCTCGCTCAGGTGAGCTCAGGTCCCCCTGGGGTGCAGCTTCCCATAGGCACCTGGTCCATGGTTTGTGACGCTGTATATGATAAGGAGGCGTGTCTAGGGAAGTCCCTTCCTTTCCAGGGGCCTGGGGGGAATCAGGGGACAAATGAAGGATGCCCAGGACAGAGTCAGCTGCTGGGGGCAGGGCGTGCTGAAATTTGGCCCAGTGGAGGGGGCACAGGGGAAGAGGAGGGATCCCACTGAGCCCCCATCAAGGAGCGTGACCCCCCCCCAGTCCTGGTCAGTCCGGTCCCTCATGCACCAGATGGCTTTTGGTAGATCACATCTCATAAACTAATCCGATCTTCTCATGGGGGGAGGGCAGACTTGCAAAAATGCTTTCCACGAGCACAGGACAAAGTGAATATCTTTAACCTATTAAGAACTTTCTAAGTCAATAAGAAAAAGATGAGCTCTCTCTCTCTCTCTTTTTTTTTTAAGATTTTATTTATTTATTTGAGAGAGAGTGATGGAGAATGAATGAGGGAGGAGGAGAGGGAGAGGGAAAAGCCGACTCCCCGCTGAGTAGGAAGCCCGATTCGGGAGCTCATTTCCGGGCTTGATCCAGGGATTCTGGGATCATGACCTGAGCCGAAGGCAGACGCTTAACCAACTGAGCCATCAGGTGCCCCAAAGATGAGTTCTCAATAGAAGGTTGGGGAAGGAACCCAAGCAAGCGACACAAGAATAAATGCAAGTAGCCAGTCCTCAGGAAAGCTGTCCCTTACAAGCCATCAAAGAA